ATTAAAGTCAGTCGGCCCTTCCGTGCCTTCGGCGAACCGAACTGGCACTTTCTCGGGGTTCAAGAATGCCGGAGAGCGAAGCGTGATGTTGACATCAGGAAAGTTTGCCGAAACCAGCTCCGAATCCTTGATAGTGGGCGCCCAGTTCTCTCCATACTGGAGTCCAGTCTGAATTCCGCCGGATTGGGCCGTGGCAGTAGACACGAGAGCCGTGAGTGCGTAAAGACGCTGAACCATGCTGGGAGCCATCGTGTCGATGTTGGAATTGAGAAGGGCCTGGCTTGATTCAAGTCATCTGTTGAAGGAACATCGGTAGATTAAATACAATACGACATCATCCAACCATTTTCTCATTTCGGCTTCCCATTGCCCGGCCGGAGCTTATTCTGAAACCGTATTGTTCCCAGCAAGTGGATCGTCATGCTGCAACCTCCCATTGTGACATTAATAATTAATAACTAACTAATTACTCCGCGTACTAACGAAGCTAAAGGAAGTATTTAACAATGAATGAGGGGTTGTTGTTCTTGGCATGGAGAGCTCTCGCGGCGTGGAAATAAGCGATGGAGTCGATCAGCGAGTTTTGTTACTACATTAGGGAGGTCAGTAGATAAGCTTAAGTAACACCCCACAGCGCGAGTTAAATCCGGGTTCCTATGAGTAACGTCACAGGATACGATGCTTGAGAAACTAATTAGTGCCGGGTGGAAAGAGATCGGCTTCCCCTCTTTCTGTCGCCTGATGTGGCATTGCAAATTGTTGGGATGACCGGTACTCACCGTTTTCTAGAAAAGGGCGATCTGAGAAGAAGTTGCAAGTCTATAGATGGGGAGGTAGGGAAATATGTATAAAGCGACGTGTATCAGATTGAGGTGTATACCATCTTACTTATTATCATCAATAAGAGCGTGTCTTCTATGTCTTGCTGAGCAGATTCATGGACTAGCAAGAACTATTGGGTCAAGCATCTTCCTCTCGTAGTATTCACATTGGACGAAGTCATGCCAAGTCTCTAACACGGATTACTGCACTGCACTGGAGTGTGAAGAGTTGCCAGAAATATTTGAAGAATAGATATAGTCAAGGATGAATCACTAAGCGTAGCAAGGGAAATAGCCAGGTCTCCGATGTGGCAGGTGGATGCTCAGGTATGACTGATGTCCTTGGTAACGAATACTTCTTCAACAACAAAATTGTTAGAAGTCGATACTTCAACTGGACTTTATACTGCCATTATACTCTTATGTCATATTGTGGCTCATGTTTAGTGGTTTACTATTACTAGTGAAGAGATTCAACCGTGTAAAGTTCAGACGTAGCGGTTCAACGATATAGTTGGTTATGTCTTACTGGCATAAATAAGATCTGATCCAACGCACAGCCACTCCGAGATTTGACAAACGATCAACATTTAAAAAGCCACTTTTACATAATCTGATCTTACTGCAGTTGCTAGTACTTGTATTCGGTTTTCTAGTCTAATTGCATCCCACGTAAGACCAGCAGCTAACTATAGAGTAGCTGTATCTCACATATTTATGTCATCATCTTGGGCTAGTCTCGCTTCCTCGATTGTCACCCTCATGCTCACGTGCAATTTGATGGATTTGGGCACCTGGAGTAATCTGGAATATGGATTGCCTCGCGATTGTTGAAGCGAAGACGCGAACGACGAGCATTACATCCAGACGACTTGGCATTAAATCAGGATAAAAAGGGATACAAATTACCTTGGTACATGATAAAAAGACAATTTTTAATATCAGATTCATCGCTCTATCTTTCAAAATGCGCATCGCCTTTGTTCAAGCTCTCTTCTTCAATGTTGGTCTCGGCATGAGCCTTGCCTCCGTTTCACATCGCACTGAGCCTGACATCGGTCCCTTCAAAGACCCCGATCTGACGGCATTCCTCCAAATCGACCTTGCTGTCGGTCGTGAGACCAATGTCACTGGTCCTGATGCCCAGTGGGGCGCTGCTCCTAATGTCCAAGGTGGAAAGGTATCTGGCGCTTTTGAAGCCGATATCCTGCCGCTTGGAACGTCCTACGAGAGATATGTCAAGAATGAGCAGGGCGAAAACAGCGTAAGTTTATTTTCTATGAAAGGTGGGACTATACTGAGTTTCGCATAGTTCTACTACAATCGTTATATCCTCAAGACCGCGGACAACGATACCATCAGCCTTGAGGTTGATGCCATTGTCAACTACCGCAACAATGCACTCCATGGCTTTGGATTCGGGTAAGTCATCAATATTGAACCAATTTAGGTGTACAGATGCACATGTCTAACGAGCACAGCAAATTCGTGACAGATATTCCACACCTTCTGTATCTGAACTACAATGTGTATCTCATCGAGGTTACAGGAGACTTTGAAACAGGCAAGGCCGCAAGCCAGCTATTTGCACTTAAATCTGGAGGTCGACGGGACGGTGAACCTATTCGGGCCCTTCTGCCCATCGGATAGTCACTTTTTATGAGGGGGGGGAAGAAACTCAAAGTGCTATGGGACTCTTCCACCACACGGGCAGCGTCTAGTTGTTCTCTTTCTATTGATTCTATCCCTTTCTCAAATATTTCTTTTCGTAACTCATTAAATTTCTATTTGTTCAATCTTAACAAGTGACAATTGTCAAAATCACCTCTCTTTCAAGGTTGAAGCGATGACAGCGGCACCCACACCACTACCCGGTGAAAGCATAAACTCAATGTTGCTCTTTCTTGAGTCAGGTTCAGCAACTGGAGCAAGGATCTCCCCGACAGCCTTTGACAACTCCAGCTGAAAATGGGGATGCTTCTCGAATAATGAGCCCTCGACTCCGACGTGACATTGCTGCAGGTCACGCTTCTGACAGATGGCCGCGACGCCAGTTGCTGACAAACGAGCGGCGCGGGTAGTAATGAGTGTAGCGACTGCTTTCATGAATTGGAGCTCAGCGAGACTTGGGGAGATTCCCAGGGCTGAAACGCATGTCTCATACGCTTCTCGTAGACCATCTGATGTGTCCCTAGAACTATGTTAGCATAGATCAATGATCCGACATCTGTATGTACTTACTCCTCAATAGCGGAAAGGAACGAAGAGTCGAGACAATAAGTATCGTTTAATCTCTCCATACTCTGTCCCTCTAAGAAGGTATGGGGATCCCTCTGATGGATGTCCAGGATTATGCGACGAAATAGCTCTCCGAGGTAGAGTCCTGCCACCATCTTTTCAAACGCCTGTTGTCCCTTTCTTGGAGAGTCTTCATCGATAGCAATATCATACGAGGTCAATGGCAGTACAGCATGCTCGTTGTCGAAAGCCCCCCATTCGCAGTTAATAGCCATGAAGGATTCTCCATCCAAGTTGTCATTTGCGAGCTTGGGAATGGCTTCGACCTTTTCGAAGTAAGCGCCGTTGCAACCTGTGCCGAAAACGCAGCCGATTTCTGTATCAGGGTTGAGATAGGCCGATGCCATCATGGTCGCGGTTGTATCATTCGTTACAACACAGACCTTGAGCGGGAGGTTCTGGTATGTCGTTAATAGTTGTTTTTACAAGGACATATAGCAACAAACCTTTTTCTTGATGGCTTGTCTTAATGATTCAGCAGCATCCTTTCCTTCAGTGTTGGAAATGTTGAAACCCTTTGTCCACCTCTGCAAGATACCCTCGTCAATCGTCCTCTGTGTTGTTGGGAACGAAAAGATAAAGCTCAAATCTGTCTCCGTGCTGAGATCAAAGTCTGCTGACTGAAGGAAGGAGTCGAGACATCCTGCGACAAAGTCCCAGAGTTCATCAGCTGTGGCAGTCTTGAGCTCTTCTGGGAGCTTGTGTGATTCTTGCTTGACATCGAATCCGCCTTTCTCGCCAGTGAGTTGGATGGAGTAAACTCGAAGATTTGTGCCTCCCATGTCCAGAACAAGATATTTGCCTTTCTCATTGCCGTCTGGGTAGTTGGTTACCCATGTCGGATTCATTGGGATGCTTCCGCCTTTTATGCTCAGTCCTACATACTATGTTAGCACTCCCAATTTTGACGTTTGTTTCATGGTACATATGTACCTTTTTCCAACTCTTGAACAAAGTGGTTAGTGACATGTTTGAGCTTTGTTGAGTCGATCAAAAAGTCTTGTTCGAGCTCGTCGAGGTAAGCCTTAAAGTTTGCCATGATTTGACTGAGTATCGTATATGTGACCGATTGATGATTTCCTGATTTTGAGACTTGAATGAATGTACGGTAGAGTATATATATGTTGTCTGCGCTAAATCTTACATCATTATCTTGTAATCGGTCCGGATCATTTCTTCCAGGACACGGACGACTGTGATACCTATTACAATGACGTCAGTTCCACTTTAACAATCTCAGGACCCTCAGTTGTGCTTTTTCTCCAGATCCTGCACCTTGTTTTTCTTTATCTCCATTGTCTGGTGTGTTTTGAGTTGGCAATCCGTTATCAAAGCTCCAAGCTCTAACCAGCATTGCTAAGGTCACAAACTCGTCATTCTGTGCCAGCGGCTGACTGGGCCGAATAGTAATTGGTTCAATCACTTATAGTTACTGTCGATCTTATTAAGTTTATTGACAATCGTGCTATTGACTCCAAATCTTGATTTGATGGACGCGTGCCTCAGGGTAGCAGAAACATACTGTCAGGAGCATAAAAGACGAATCTTAGATTAACTTATGCTGCATATCGAGTACTCTTTAGGCTATTTATTTTTATATTTTGCATGTTGGAGGTCAGCTGCCATTTGCCTCTATGTGCTTGTCAATTAATGTGTCTTGATACGGATTTGCTGCTTGAATCTGAAAACTTAATTCAACTGGTCGGATTAAGTTAGACTGGCAGGTGGGGGCTACTAAAATGGAGAACACCATTCTCTATAATTGAGCAGCGATGCTGCGCAAACGCAATCTCCCTCGTGCATTTCCATATACCTGTTCAGTTTATGTCACATATGCCTCATAGCTCTCAAGTCTACTCCCATTTTGCAATACATAAAATCGGGCGATTGGTTTAACGGTAAAACATCATAGAACCTTGTGGTTATGGGACTCCCCGTAAACCCATATTAATAACACTTGTCTTCAATTGTGAAAGCTCTAGGTTCGAATCTTAGGTTGTCCATATCTTTTGTCTTTTTGTCTTTTTTTGCCAGACGGTCCAATTTAAACCTTCTCAAAGACCTTCCTGCTTATTCTCCATCGTAGAACTGCTGTTAGAATTGTTGCGACGCTCGAGAGGGAACCAGCGAAATACATGGCAGGTCTATAGTCACTCAATCCTCCATCAGCACCACCGCCATGACGTTCGAGCAGAAACCCTGCGATGGGGGATCCCTATTGATGTTAGTATATACGGTCTTGTGATCTCAATATCTCAATCTCACAAGTAAGTATCCGAGAACCCAGCCAACGATCATCATAGCCATCGCTGTAGATACACGCGCTGATCCAAAGACATTGCTGACAACGGTGGGCATAGAGGAGAAGAAACCACCGTTCATGAGACCGTTTAGGACCGCAAAGACAGCCAGCGGCGCAAGTGACGTCGAGGCGGGCCAAAGAGCGAGCATTGTAATCGAGTTGCCCAGAAAGAAAGCCCAAAGGGTGTTTATAGGACCCAGGATGTCGCAGAGATAACCGCTGATTATACGTCCCACGGCTGAAGCGAAACTGAAGCCCGCCAACAGACCAGCACCAGTACCTGTGCTCAGACCCATAGAGCTGGAATACAAAGGAAGGAAATAAGGTGGCACCAAGAGTGGGAAAATGCCGATTCCAGCAGCGAAAAAGAGGATGGCAAAGTTGAGCTGACGGAACAAATTCCAGTCAACTATTCCTGCCCTGGCGAGGGGTGTTCTCTCCTTGATGAGATATGCAGCTGGAAGACCCGTACCAAGAATCATCAGTCCTGTGATCCGGAACGCCCACTCAACGCTGTATTTTTCGATTAGAGAGTCAGTCGCGATACTCATGATAGCACCACCAAAACCTCCTCCGGCGTACACGATACCGTTTGCGATACCGCGTCGCTTCATGAAGTACTGCGCCGGTACAACAGAGAATGACATGAAACAGCCACTCATACCGAGACCCAGCGGTACACCGGGGAGAAAGATGAGCCCCACGAGATGGTCCGTCACGAAACTTGCGAAAACAAACGAGAGGCCCATAAGGCTAATACCAACACAGCTGAGTATTCTCGTTCCGAATGATCGGATCATCCTTGACACCAGCATTCCGACCGTTGCCATGAGTGCTGGAGAAATAGATCCGCAGAATGATAAAGCGAGAGGTGAGCCAACGCCTCGCTGAACGAGGGCGCGCTGATACACACCCCAAGTGTAGCTTAATCCGATCACCCACCATGCTACCTAATAAACGTTAGACAAAGGGTTGATCAGTCGCAAAAGGGATATGCTACCATTGCGCATGCTCCAATGACTACCCATCCGTAGCCTCCGTCAGGGACTGTACTATCTGCGATGCGCGAAGCTTCGAGGGCTGGATCATCGGAGTCATTTTGGTGACTTGATGCTGTTTCGGCGTGCCCTCCTCTTGGGCGGAGGTTAGAGGAGGAGGCTTCGTAGGATGTCCCGTTACCCAAAGGTTCAAGCTGGACGGCAGTAGTGGTTGACATTTTGAAGTCACTCCGTTTTTTAGGTAGAGGATCACGATCCCGTGCGCCTTTGTTTTGATTAAAGGAGAAGAAGTGGGAGGTGGAGTTGAGGGGGAAAAGTGTCCTTGTTCCTCGATGTCAATCCAAGGGCGTCACTAGGATGGATTCATCCATGCCAAGATAACACAAAGTCAACGTGTTCGGTCGCAAATTGTGTTATATGACCTTGAAACCATTTGAACAATCTCTATTATCACCATTGTAATTTTTGATCATTTATATCGAGTTTGTTCTGATTGGAACTGACGATTGTTTCTGTCGCGAAGATGAATCTTTGGATGCCATCTTCAGTGAGTCGCAATGTCTAGATAAGGGCGCGTGGCGAATATCACTCAATCGAGGGGTGTGATCTCATTATTGTTCCATCATCTACCAGTCATTCTCATTTAGCATAAATATTGCGTAACCATCAATCGCACATCTCATTTATCTTCGAAAAAACACTCACACCATCTCACAGCACATCTCAATTGCTAGTTCATCTCACCAACAATGACATCATTACAAGACCCTTCAGTTCTCACTCAGACGTTTCACTACGAAACCTCAACTCATGTGTACGATGTCAAATGGGGCACACTTGGCGATGAAGGCCTCCCTCCTCTAATATTCATTCACGGAACGCCTTGGTCTTCACGTGTTTGGACAGACTTTGCGATTGCACTGTCGCGTCGATTCTGCGTTTATCTTTTTGATAGACCTGGCTTTGGTGAATCGCCCCCAGAACTTTTGAAGCAAGGTCTGCTGCCAAGCATACACCCCGTCGAACAGTTTGACAGCAATCTTGCGCGACAAGCGGAGGTTTTTGCTGCCCTGTACCAAGAGTGGGAGGCTTCCTGGTCTTATCCAACAGCTCATGGTAAGTCTTGCGATTGAAGACATTGTTCATAAATCATAATACTAATACTCAACAGTCGTCGCTCATGATAACGGCGGTTTAGTCAGCCTTCGAGGATATCTCTTGCACGAATTATCTTATGAGAGTCTTTGTTTGATTGACGTCGTAGCGATCGGTCCATTTGGTCAACCTCTCTTCAAGAGCATGGCCGAGAACCCACACATCTTTGAACAACTCCCCGACACCGTATTCGAGGGAATTTTGGAGAGTTACATCAGAGATGCCGCGTTTCACGAACTACCAAGTGAAACAATGCAGATGCTCAAAGAGCCATGGACACGGGAAGGCGGCAACCAAGGTTTCATCAGAGAACTATGCCAAGCGAATTGGAGAAGTACAGAAGAAGTCGAAGGGAGATACGGCGAAGTTGGCTCCAAATTACGAGTCAAGGTCATTTGGGGTGCTGAAGACAAATGGCTTCCGGTCGAAGCGGCATATAGATTGGGCAATGCGTTGAAGGCTGTGGAGATTGTCGTTATTGACAAGGCTGGACATCTTAGCATGATAGACCAGAGTGCACAGATGGGTATTGAGCTGGCTACATGGCTTAATGAGGCCTCCCATGAACAACTGTCGTAAACAATAGACGAAACGAATTTGGATTTATTTTATTTATTTTATTCGACATCTTGAGTGGCTTCTCGTATGCACCAACGTTGACGAAATTACCACGGATTCCAAGGTGACCTCAGGGAATTAGAAAATTGGTATTGGAATCATGAGACACAAGATATCAAGTCACTTTATGTCATTCATATTAAATTTCTTGGGTTATTTGTAGGAAGACTTGAAGCTCAGAGGATATCTTCATTAACCACCAATGAGTAACTCATCGAGTGTTTTACATCTAGCACTTCTACCCTATAGATCCTTATGTATCAGATTTTAAAATTAGTATTTATTGAAAGAGCATCTCAAATAGGATCTGTCTTGAACAACTAGTCTGAACTAAGGAAAACCTTCAAGATGAGTGGCTTTTCGTGCTTGCGAATCTTGATCTATACTACCCTACAACTCACGCCGTCGAAGCCGATCGATCCGAGTCGAGATCCGTGCTAGCCCTGTTGGTTCTCCAATTTATTAGTTGAATCCTGCAAGGGCGGAGTGGCTATGGAGGCCCCAACCGAGCTTTTCAGCCAGAAACCCGTTCTTGAAATCTTTAAGCGACAAGTGTTTCTACAAATTGTCGCGTGGATTTGGCAAAGGGCCTTATATGTAACGGTGCCAGTCAACAAAAATAGACACGATTTTGCTCGTATCACCGGTAATAATATCGCTAAACCACCTGTTATCTCGCACCTTGTACACTGAACAAACCTTGCCTGTCAAATTTTACGAGCTAACCAGAGGATTCAGTGCCTGACTAGCAGGTCTCTCCACTCCCGAAACGTCGAGATCCGCCAGAGCAACAAAGTCAGTGATGGAACTGGACGAAGCAAACAAGTCAAGCTCTCAGATCATCAGCTCTCCCCAGTTTTCACGGCCCGTCTGGTATCAACATCGAATCACGTCTGTTCTTCCCCATAGACAATCAATAGTCACTCCATATTATGGAGCAAGGATGCCCCATTACGCGTCAGGGCTTGCGTATCCACAAGACAAGGATCCTTACGCAGCCAAGGGACCCAGTATCAGCGACCATCTTCATTTCCTCCCCGTATCGCTGATAGCTAACACCTGCCTAACGCCGACCAACAGTGATTAGCCAAGATCAGCTAAACCCAACGTGAACAAAGGTTCACAAGGCGCAGCTGTAAAAGGAGAAAGAAATATCGCACTCTCAGGGCAGAACTTATTTTTATATCCACTGGTCTAGCCCCCATGTCTTCGTCTGATCTTCTTTCTTCTTCCCACTTGCCGAAAGTTTGCTCTTTCTGACGAGTCTTGTGTGGTAGGCTAACGTCGCATTCTTTTAAATTGTGTCGATACACACCGTCTGTCGTTACTTGTTATCTACCACTTCATTCGTTTTAATAGTCCTAATAATCTTTCTTTTACTTTTCAACTCTTCTAATCAATCACATTCTTTGCAATATCCGCCAAAATGGTTTCCGCTTGGTCAAAGATTGCTATGGCTGCCAGCCTGGCGGCTTCAGCCACTGCGCAGACGTATACGAGCTGTAACCCAATGAAGAAGTGTAAGTGGTACACGAAAATGTATCCCCAATAGGGACAGAAAAATTGATGTGGTTTGCAGCGTGTGATCCTGATGTCGGTCTTACTGCTTCGTCGTACACGGTGGACTTTACGAACGGCGCCGACGACGACAACTGGGAAGGAACCGGTCATGGAGACGTCAAATATACTTCGGACGGTGCCGAGTTTACAATCGACAAAGAGGGCCAGTCACCTACTATTCAGACCAAGTGGCATATGTTCTTTGGTCGTCTCGAAGTTCACTTGAAAGCTGCCCCTGGGCAAGGCATTGTTTCTTCTATCGTTTTTCTTTCAGATGTTCTCGACGAGATGTAAGTTGCAGCCATCATAGACGGGGTGTTGTGTGGCGTGGTGTGGTGTTGTCTCGTGTTATGTCGTGTACTAACAGCAT